AAGAAGCTTTTAATGAAATTATCAAATATATTACTTTAGAGCTAATTCTGTATAAAGCAAATCCCTATAAACCCTTTAAAGTTGAAACTAATGCATTAGGATATGCACTCGAGAAATAACTTGATTAGCAAAACAACCAAGAGTATTTAAGAATTATAAGCAACTTTTCAAGAAAGTTGAACAGCTCAGAAGTTAACTACAGAATCCCTAATCAGAAGCTTATAGCAATAGTGAAAGCTTTTGAAAAGTAGCAATACTATCTTATTAGCACAAAGCATCCGATTATAGTTTACTCAGATTATAAGAATCTAATTATATTTATAATAATCAAAGTTTTGAATAAGCAACAAGTTAGATGAGCAGAATTCCTCTTACAATTTGATTTCAAGATTGTATACTGCAAAAGCTCGGAAAACGGACGAGCAGATGCTCTCAGCAGAAGATCAGATCATCGAGATGTAAATTCCTCGGATATACAGAACATCTTTGCTCAAGATGAATTAGGAAATCTCGTTAATGCATATAGGGAGCTGAATGCTGTTTTCAGAATTGAACCTTTGGAAAAAGATTCAGAATCAATGACTTCAGATGAACAAGATAGCTACATCAGGAATATATATAATGCATTAGTATATGGATACTAAGGAATTAGAGCAATTTATGAATACATTAAGAAATACTGAAATTTATCAAGCTTTAGAAAAAGAATTGAAAACATCTTATAATAATGCAATAGCTGCAAAAAGAATAAAGCAGAAAGATATAAGCTTTATAAACTATTATATCCCTTATTAGTACTTATAACTATTTAGCAATCCATCAGTTTAAACTTTATTATTAAGCTACTTTTCTTATAAGAATTCTTAATTAAAGTGCAATATAATAGTATTCTAGTAATAATTTGCAAACTGAGCAAGTATGCTTATTTTCTTTCTTATAAAGAAAGCAGTATAGCAGAAGAACTCGTATATGCATTTCTCAGAATAATTATTGCTAACTACAGCATATCAGAAGAAGTAATCTCTGATAGAAATAGAAAGTTCAACTCAAAGTTTTAAACTTTGCTTATAAAATAACTTAGAATATATTACAGAATGTTCATAGCATTCCATCTGCAAATAGATGAATAGATAGAAAGAATAAATTAGATTATTGAATAGTATCTTCAATACTATATCAATCAGAAACAGAATAATTAGATTAATCTATTGCTTCTTATACAATTCGCTTATAATAGCGCAGATATAAGTATAACAAAGAGATTACTATTCTTTGTACTCTACAGATACAATCTAACAGCTTATTATAAGGCACTGCTAGGAGCGAATATGGAAGCTGCAGATAAGAAGATCAAGAAGATCAAGAAAGTTCAGAAGAAACTCCGATTAGAACTATAATTTATTCAGGAATGAATAGTATGATATGCAAACTCCAAAAGGATTGGAAAATCAATCCTATAGAAAGGAGATAAGATCTATTTACTTCGAAAAAACATCAAAATAATCAGATTCAGCAACAAATTCGATTACAAGAAACTGGAGCTATTCAAGATCTTGCAACAAGTTTCCTTAATTAACTATGAATTAGCATTACTGTATGAAATGAGAATATACCCGGTTTTCCACATCTTACTACTGGAATTAGCAGTACAGGAAATATTAACAGATAATATAGCAGAAGTAGAAAATAACGAACCAGAATATGAAATAGAAAAAATCCTTAAGCACAGAAGCACAAACAATACAAGGGAATATCTTATCAAGTAGAAAGATTACTTAGCAAGTGAAAATTCATGGGAACTACGAGGGAATGTTGAAAACGCTCAGGAAAAGATAGCTGAATATTGGAAAAGGAAAGCTAGCACCTAAGATGATCGCTCCGCCCCGAACCGAGGTCCAGGGGCTTCAGAGACCTCGCTCTCCAGGAAATCCGACTAATCTACCACTGCATTCCCTACATCCACGGAATTCCAGTCAAAACCCTCAAAAGAAGGATCTCCAGCAACTACAGCAGATTCCTCTGCAACCACAGAACGAATCCCAGCAGCAACGCGAGCCCGCTCCTCCTCAGCTTCCTTATATTCCAACTTCTCTATACTGGAAAGGCTTCAATGAATAGCTTTTATCATTCTTTCAAATCACAAACGCTTCTGCTTCTGCAAACATTCTATCTCCGCAGCAGCATCGCGCAGCCGCTCCTCAGCACTCTCGAGTTGGTTCTCCAGGCGTTAGTATTGAATGCCTATCCGACGAATTTCCGCTGCACTCAACCCTTGAATATTGCACTGAGAGCGATCCAGGCGGATACATTCAGTGCAGCAAGAGGAATCCTCAACGGAGACTTAACAAGACTGAATACTACAATCCTTGCAGAAGGAACAAGAAGGCATAGTAATAGCGTTTTTGAGAACTAAGGAAAGAAGAGAATTCTTTTGTCTAATCTTCTCAGTACGAGAACGAGATTTATTGATTCTGTTCAACATCTCAATTAGGAAGGCAAGATCATGTATACGGAGGATTTGCTAGGATACTTACAAAAGATCGTTGGGAATAACGACTGATAGGAGGGGGATGATGTTATGATCCATCCAACATGCAGGTTACGGAATAGATTACGAGTAACAGGGACCAGATGTTAAGGATTCAATGTTCTGATAAAGCATTAATTACATAACCCAGAGTTAGGGTTATGGGTACGGCTAATCAGGAAGGATAGCTTCGGATATGTGCTATTCAGAGCTAGCAGGATAACTTGGATATGTTGCTATTCAATATATTCATACTGAAGAACTGGATATATAAGAATACGTTCATTATCATTAGATAAATTCAGTATATAGCTCTTCAGTTGTAAATCTAAGTATCAGATTACTCTCTACTCTGATAGCTCCAAAGGCAGTGAATACTTGCATCGCTTACTGAGACTTGTACGGTTCCGTATTCAAGAACTTGGCACTTTAACACTGCTCTTGTTAGCATAAACCCTCTTTGTATACTTTGGAATCTTCGGATTGCTGCAGTGCTCATTACATGCTAGCTCTATAAAACTCGATTCTGCTAATAAACAGTATAGCAAGAAGAATAGTATTACTTGCTACAACTGCAATAAATAAGAGCATATCTTATATAATTGCTATCAGCTTAGAAAAAACAAATAGCAATTCATTTAGGAAGAATGCTAAGTAAATATTGCTCGATATGTAATGAGCACTGCAGCAATCCGAAGATTCCTAAGTACACGAAGGGTTTATGCTAACAAGAGCAGTATCGAAGTATTAAGTCCTTGAATACGGAACCGTATAAGTTCTAATAAGCGATGCAAGTATTCACTGCTTTTGAAGCTACTCAGTATATGTTATAACCCATCCAACATGCAGGTCACGAAACAAGTCACGAATAACAAGGATCAGGTGTCATGACTCAACGTCGGACAACCAACAAAGATTACGTAACCCAGGGTTAGGGTTACGGGCTGTAACTAATCAGAAAGAGACCGGAGCAGTTAACGATCGGTCCTCACAGTTCAGGCAGTGAACCGCAACAATCAGCCACCGATTCTTACAGTCCATACTGAAGAAATGAGTATATAAGAACACATTCATTACCATTAGATAGATTCAGTACATAGCTCTTCAGTTATCAATCTAAGTATTTAATCTTATACACTAAGTAGCTCCAAAAGCAGTAAATACTTGCAACGCTTATTAAGACTTGTATGATTCCGTATTCAAGAACTTAATACTTTAATACCGCTCTTGTTAGCATAAACCCCTTTGTATACTTTGGAATCTTCGGATTGCTGCAGTATTCATTACATTTTAATAACTCTTGTTTGAGAATGGTTCAGTGTTATCCTCTTGAGCAATACGGAATATGATAGCTTCTTCAGAAACTCCTTCGTTCTTGCACGCTTCTATTCAGGAAGAACTAATCAACCAGGTATACCAGCTTACCCAGCGTATCCAGAACCTGCGCGAACAACAGCAGGCTCAGAGCGCTACCATCGCTAACTAACAAGCTCAGCTAGCCCAACACGCTTAGCAGGCGCAGTCCACCTCTGCAGCTACTAATGATGCTGGAAAGGCGTACAAGATGAACAAGCCTGCTATGTATAATAGCAACCAGAAAACGCTGCATGGATTCCTTATTTACTGCAAAGCGTATTTCTTGTATCATATAATTCAGTTTATTATAGAATCTGAGAAAATTATTCTTACAGAAACTCATTTCGAAAAGAATGCTTTTATCTAGTACAAGCCTTCTCTGCACAACCACTTGGAGCATCAGAACAACTCCAACGCATATATCCAGAATACTAAGAACATATTCGATTCCTTTGAAAGCTTTGAGAAAGCTCTTAAGGAAATCTTTAGCAATCTTAATGAAGAATGCATCATAGCTTAACAACTCATAAACCTCAAACAAACCAAATCAGCTTCTACTTACACAATCAGATTCAAGCAACTCTTAGCAAAACTCTTATAGAAAGATAAAAATCTTATAGAATACTACTACAAGGAACTCAAGAATGATATTAAGAACGAAATCTTCAAACAGGATTAGCTAGAGAACTTTGCAACATTCTCCAACCAAGCAATTCGCATTAATAATCATCTGTACGAACAACGAGTGGAGAAATCCAAGAAAGAAGAAAGCTAAACTTGGAGATTTCCAGCTAATATAAGCAAGAAACTCCAATACAAAAATAGCAGTTAATAGAGCAGTACAGCTCAGAGCGGTACTATGCATGCTGATCCTATAGAGCTCAATGCTGCTAACAGGCAGTATAGCAAAAGGAATAGCATTACTTGCTATAACTGCAACAAACAAGAATATATAGCATGCAATTGCTATTAGCTCTAAAAGAACAAATAGCAATTAGCTCAGGAAGAATAACAGATGAATATCGCTCAGCAACAGGAATTTAATTAACTGAGCAAGAACATTCCCTTGGAGCAAGTATCGAACTCTATTGATTACAGAAATCTCAGCTGAATATTCTGCTATAATAATAACTGCTTAACACACCTCTCAAGTAAGAAAGGCTCAGGATGGTTTCCTCAGAAGCCTAGACGTTGCAGGCAGATAGCGATAGCAGGGCGAGGATATACGCTCAGCATCACGAGCAGCGACTCGGACTGCTCTAGCATCACAGAACAGAGCATTCAGGTATTGGAGGAAGGACTTAGCAACAATACCTTTCGGCATTCTTCATCACTTATGCCAAGCACTACAACCAGGGATGTGAATAAGGGATAATACCCCTTTGATTACTAGTACGAATACCTAAGCAATACCGAAAAAGCCTCTCAGGCAACAGAAGAATCAAGCCAGAACGGACAACCTAGCAGCCCGCCGAAGTTTCCTGTAAACAACATACTCAACAAGCTTAAAGGAAGGTTTCCCTTCAGCATTGAGTAGAACAAGAAAACAACATAGATTGAATATCTCATCTATGGAATAGAGCTAGAGAAGCTCTTCACCTATATCCCCTTGCAAAATGTTAAAGCATAACAAGATAAGAACTCTCAGATCAATCCACTTTACAACCTACACTACGAGCTGGCATAAATCTCCTGCACCTATTATAGCTGCTGAATGCACTTCTCGGAGAAGATGCAACACGAATAGTTTTCCGTCAGAGAATCAGAACAAATCCTTCAGGCTGTTAAGGAACAGGAACTCCGCTTTAGGGAAGTTCTCAACAGGCAGCACTACAATGCATATATCGGGCTACTAGATAACTGTTCCAAGCAATGTATGAATAAGAAAATAGAATGATAGCAATGCAGAATAATGCTCTGCATAATTTATATTAATAATAAGATTTGCAACTAGTATTAATAGAAGAAAGATTAGAAATAACGACGATATGAGCAAAAGCAAGCTAAGAAGCTTGCTTAAGAAGCAGCAAAGCAAGCTCAAAGAAAGAACAAGCAGCTCTCAACAACTCCAAAAGAACAGGATTGCTTGTAAAGAAACTGCAGATAATCAGACTAGAACAGTTTCTATATGAAGCTTTTAAAGCAAGCTACGCTCATATCAAGTTCAACATATACATTCAAGAATACAAGTACAGCATACTATTAAACAGTAGCGCTCAGAGAAACTTCATATCCTCATACATCATCAATCAGATATAACTACAATGGAAATGGAAAAAATGCTCATACACTCTCAGCATTATGAAAAAACAATCTGTTGCATACAACTAAGAAGTAATCAATAAGAAGACTAATTATCTATCTATCTTGATTCAAGAATGCATAATCAGAGCTTCCTTTAATATCATGGATATAGCATAGCATGAGCTGATTATAGAATTTCTATAGCTCAAGAAGTATAATCCTCGAATCGATTGAACTACTAGCTAGATCTCATGAGAACAAGCTGTACCCAGAGAGATAGTTGCAATCAACAATGCAGGATCGAAGCTAGTGATTGAAGAATACTCAGGAAAAGAAGCTTCATATAACTTTATACATACTTTCAAACCAGCAGGGCTAGCAATTCAAGGAAAAGAACCTAGTAACAAGCGAACCCAAATAGTGCTAGAGCGCTAATAGGTTAGTAAAACAACGGAAGCAAGGCCCTCAGCAAGTTGGTTCGCTCCGGAGCAACAAGGAAAAGCTTCAGAATATGAATTGTGAATCTACACAGGAAAAACCTCGAAACCAGGCCCTCGAGCGCTCAGTCCGGCTCAGAGCGAACGCTCAAAGCCCTCGAAAACGCCATCAGAAAAGAAGCACGCTCAGCAGTACCTACTATTCCTTCAGATAGCAGAAACAGCACAGGGATCAGAACCAACACTCGCGAACATACTACGAGAATATCACAAATTCAAGAAACTATTCCAAGAAGAATTGAATACAGAATTACTAAAACACAGCTCATACAATCACGAGATTCTACTATAAGAAGGAAAACAGCCCAAATTCTTCCCCATCTATAGACTAAACAAGGCATGCTTAGAAGCGCTCAGGAAGTATCTCGATAAGAATCTCAAAAAGAGATATATACGATTATTGCAATCATTAGCAGAATATCTCATTCTATTTATATCCAAGAAGAATAGCAAGCTCAGGCTATGTATCAACTACAGATAACTCAATAACATTACAATTAAGAACCAATACTCATTGCTAATCATCAAGGAACTATAAGATAAATTGCAAGAAGTATAGTAGTTTATAGTCTTGAATCTAAAAGAAGCTTACAATCTGATTAGAGTAAAGAAAGAAGAAGAATAGAAAACTGCTTTCAGAATATACTATGAATATTACAAATATTTGATTATGCTTTTTAATCTAATGAATATCTTAGCTTTATTTCAAGAAATAATCAATTACGTTCTATACAAATATCTGAATCAGTTTATCATTGCATATTTCAATAACATTCTTATTTACTCTTAAATACTGAAAGAATATAAGGAATATGTAGAAACAGTATTGCAAATACTTCAGAATGCAAAACTTCTTATAAAACCTGCAAAGAATTACTTTTATATACAAAGAATTAACTATCTCGGATTTACAATCAAATCAGAATATATCAAGCTATAGGAAAATAAGGTAAAAGCTATTAGGAATTGGCTAATTCTTAAGAGTATTAGGAATATTAGATCTTTTCTTAGATATATTAACTTCTATAAGCAGTTCATTAAGAACTACAGCTAAATCGCACATTCTCTTACAAATCTTATCAAAAAGAATTAATTCTTTGAATAGATCTCTAAAGCACAAGAAGCTTTCAACGAGATTATCAAATACATTATCTTAGAGCTAATTCTGTATAAAGCAGATCCCTATAAATCTTTTGAAATCAAGATCAATATATCAGAATATGCACTCGGAGAATAACTTGATTAGCAAGACAATCAAGAGCGCCTAAGAATTATAAGCAACTTCTCGAAGAAGTTAAACAGCTCAGAAATCAACTACAGAATCCCTGATCAGAAGCTTATAGCAATAATAAAAGCTTTCGAGAAATAGCAATACTACTTCATTAGCGCACAGCACTCAATTACAGTTTACTCGGATTATAAGAATCTAACTACATTTATAACAACTAAAGTTTTGAATAAGCAACAAATCAGATAAGCAGAATTCCTCTTACAGTTTGATTTCAAAGTTGTACATTGCAAAGGCTCAGAGAATAGATGAGCAGATGCTCTTAGCAGGAGATCGGACTATCGAAGCACAGATTCCTTGGATATACAGAACATCTTTGCTCAAGATGAGTCAGGAAATCTCGTTAATATACATAGAGAGCTGAATGCTGCCTTCAGAATCGAACTCTCAGGAAAGGATTCAGAATTAATAACTCCAGATGAATAAGACAATTATATCAAGAAGATGCACAGTGCATCAGCGTATGAATATCAGAAAGTTAGAGCAATCTACAAATGCATCAAAAAATACTAAAATTCATCAAGCTTTAGAAAGAGAATTGAGAATATTCTATAACAATGCAACAATTGCAAGAAGAATAAGGCAGAAAGATATAAGCTTTATAGATTACTGCACTCCTTACTAGTATCTACAATTATTTAGCAATTCATTAATCTAAACTTCATTACTAAGCTATTTCTCTTATAAGAACTCTTAACTAAAGTGCAATATAATAGCATTCTAGTAATAGTTTGCAAACTAAGCAAGTATACTTACTTTCTCTTTTATAAGGAAAGCAGTATAGCAAAAGAACTTGCATATATATTTCTCAGAACAATTATTGCTAATTATAGCATATCAGAAGAAGTAATTTCTAATAGAAACAGGAAGTTCAATTCAAAGTTTTGAACTTTACTCATAAAATAGCTTAGAATACATTATAGAATATTTACAGCATTCTACTTACAAATAGATAAATAAATGAAAAGAATAAATTAAGTTATTAAATAATATCTTCAATATTATATTAATCAGAAATAGAATAACTGAATTAATCTATTGCTTCTTATATAGTTTGCTTATAATAGCGCAGATATAAATATAATAAAGAAATCATTATTCTTTATATTCTACAAATATAATCTAATAGCTTATTATAAAATATTGCTAGAAGCAAATGCAGAAGCTGCAAACAAAAGAATTAAAAAGATTAAGAAAGTTTAGAAAGAACTCCGATCAGAGCTACAATTCATTCAGAAATGAATAATGCAGTATGCAAACTCCAAAAGAATTAAGAAACCAATTCTACAGAAAGGAAATAAAGTTTATCTACTTCGGAAAAACATCAAAACAATCAGATCCAGCAACAAACTCAATCACAAAAAGTTAGAACTATTCAAAATCTTGCAACAGATTTCTCTGGTTAACTACGAATTAGCATTATCTTATGGGATGAGGATATACTCAGTTTTCCATATCTTATTGCTGGAATTAGCAGCATAGGAAATATCAGCGGACAACACAGCAGAAGTAGAAAATAACGAATCAGAGTATGAGGTAAAGAAGATCCTCAAGCATAAAGGCATAGACAGTACAAGGGAATACCTCATCAAATGAAAGGGTTACTCAGCAAGCGAAAATTCATAGGAACCGCGGGAAAACGTTAAGAACGCTCAGGAAAAGGTAGCTGAATACTGGAAAAAGAAGGAACCCAGCACTTAGGATAATCGCTCCGCCCCGAACTGAAGCTCAGGGGCTCCAGAAACCTCGCTCTCCGGAAAATCCTTCAGCTCAGAACGAGCTTCTCGAGCGCTAGAACGACCTCCACCACCCTCAACATCACTCACATCGCCTAAAAAGGAATAATCTAACATACTATCAGAAGACCAGAAGAGTTCTCCCGAAGCCAAAACAGAGAATCTCTCAGGAAGGGAACCAACAGAGACACGAGCCTGCTGCTCCTTCGCCAGCTCCTCTGCCTCCACACAATCCAGCTCCTCGATCGTGTTCAGACCACAATGCACTGCACGTGCCATTTTCTCAGCTCACAGCTTGCGCTGTTTCCGCAGCCGACGCACCTTGGCCGTGGCGCGCTCCAGCTCCTCCTCTGCGTTGTCAAGAGCAGCTTCAGCAGCGGAATGCTGAGCCACAATCTTTCCCACCTGCAACAGCGACAATCCGTGCATATCACAATTCCCACGCTTGTGCTTGATGCACTCCGTACAGCGTGACGAATCCTCCTCAGAAGCAAGGCAGCGAGCCTTGCAACCCTTGCAGAAAGAATACATCAGCATTTCGATACAACGAGAAAGAGCAATAAGCTAGAGGGAGGTAGACTGTTCCGTCTTTTTGTAGCGAGCTTTATCG